GGTTTTTCTGGCCACCCCTTAAAGAATCTGGGGGATTTGACATCATGCCTTATTTCGCATTAAATTCCCAAAAAAAAAAAAAAAAAAAGGCAAGCAAAGCCCTAACCAGTGATAATTATTGAATGCCTGAAGATTGAAATGCACAAGAAACAAGTAACAGTACTTATGACTTCAAATGTATTTAAAACTGGTGTCTAAAAATTTATTTGGAATAATAAACCAAGCTGAAATTTTCTGCAAGTAAGTAAGAAATTTCCCTGCAAGGGAAAAGAGAGAAAGAATTTGAATGGCTATTTTTCTATAGGTAAGAAACATTCAAATTAAATTCACTGGGGATCATTTTTTTGAGGTCATAATGGTGCCCATAATGATACCGTTAGTGCAGATAAGACTTGAGACCTCATCAGTGTATAATTACCACATAGTTGCACCATGTTTTAGTCACAAAAGTATGAGACCAGGTTCTCGGCTAGTGTAAATCAGCACCCTCATCAATTGAGAATATTACATAGAGCAGGGTAAACCTTGGGATTCTGGGTTTTTTTGATTGTTTTTCCATTTTAAGCAAAATTACTTCATAGAAGAGTAGTAAAAGAAAAAGGTTTTATTATTTATATGAGAAAATAAATCGTATAAATGCACTTGCTTCAACTTTTTTTTAAACATTTGATATTATTTTGATTCTCAAGCAATTTTCGCTGTAGAAGAGCTTTTATAAAAGCTATAAAAAACTGTAGTTGTGTTATCTGGCAGATATAACCAGTGAGCTCTACCACGGATGGGAAAATTAACCTTCCTTCAGTGCTGTAATTTTTTTTTCTTTTCTCCTTGAATATATACACCCCTTTCTATATGAGATGAGTTACAGGAGCATGGTAAAGAGCCATGCTGTCTTACGAAAGTGGCACTGGATGCTTGTGTTTGATGCTCATGGCCATTTAATTTTAAAACAATTTTTGAAAGGTTTGAGAGCTAGAGTATACCTAGGTAATAATATAGTGCCAGGATACTTCTATCTACAGAGGCTCAAAAATTCATATCCCTAGGAAAGGAGCATGAATCCTCTAAAAACTTCTCTCAAGATCCTCCGTAAGAGGTTAACAGTTTATTTTTTTTCTAAGTTTATTCATTCATTAACTACCTAAGAATAGTATGGACTGGTTAATGAAGTACTAAAATGGATGACAATTTAAAGCTAACTATGTTAGTTTCAGGACCAAAGAGGACTGGAAGGAGCTGTGCATCAGCGCTATGAAATATATTGCAAATAAATTTGCCCCTTTCTACTTACATTACTTCATGTTTAAGTGACTTCCAGGCTTAAACTTGTCAACGCAGGAAGCAAATACAGATATCTGCCCAAACGATTAAGGGGAAATACGCCTTTGTGACCTCAGCTGTACAAACATCAAATAACTTGTCAGGCTACAGAGGCACAGGATAGCAAATAGTACATAAAATACACAGTTTTAGAAATCTGTGATGCGTTGTAACCTGAAACAGTGTTGGTAGTGTAATTACTGTCTCAATAGGGATACTGAAGAATTTTAAAGAGCCCAGAGACAGAAAGTAGAATCAATTAAGGGCTCAAAAATTATCTTAGGAAACAATATAGACAAGACTAAAGTTTTAGAAGGGCTCTGGCAAACAGTGACTAATAATAAAGGACATAAAAAACAGATAAAAAATTAGAAACTAACAAAAAATTAGCTTCATGATGAACATGAAACTGAAAATGTGTATTTAATTCACATGTGAAATAGGAAAGAATTGCCTTTTCATCCCATCTGTAATCATATTCTGGAACTTACTGGTAGTCATGCAGCATTTTTACATACAGCTTTCCACATTCATAATGCATTACACATATATATATGTGTGTGTATATGTGGGTATAGTTTAAGGACTTTGTTAATTGGTCTGTGCAACAGATGACAAAGAATGGTACAGTGGAATCTGAAGAAGCTAATACCCTGACACTGGATGATATTTCTGATGATGATATTGATCTAGACAACACTGAAGTAGATGAGTACTTCTTTCTACAACCCCTGCCGACAAAAAAGCGAAGGGCGTTGCTGCGAGCTTCTGGCGTGAAGAAGATTGATGTGGAAGAAAAACATGAGCTGCGGGCCATCCGCCTGTCCAGGGAGGATTGTGGCTGCGACTGCCGCGTGTTCTGTGATCCAGAAACGTGCACTTGCAGTCTTGCAGGCATAAAATGTCAGGTAAATGTCTGCATTATTCACGTTATTTAATTATCAAGAGTGGGGAGGGGGTGTGTGCATGCACATGTGTGTACTTTTTGTTGCTAAAGTTATAACTACAGGAAATTAGTTAGGTTAATTATTAAATGAGAGCACTTACGGATCTCAAGCCAGTTTTTTTAAGAGTATAGTGATAAGAGTATATAGTGTGCAATACAAACAATCTCTAAACATCTTTATTGAATGATTGGTTTAGGCAAATACATTGTTTATTTTTGAGGAGGTTTTTTGCTCTTATATAAATATCCTGCTCCTCGTATTCCTCTTGGTCTTTATCTAAATACGCAAATGCAGACAACAGAAGAACCAGTAGCCTGCAGATTTCGGAAGGGATATTACCTTTTATTTTAGAGACAATTCACATACGTACTGTTCAAATGTGAATTATATTCTAAACTCAGTGAGAAACAATAAGTGAAACTCTGTGGTAATATGCATGATACTTAATATGTGTGCATGATAGACTTGCATGTGCAATAAGAAATACATCTGCTGATACAGCAGGTGTTTTTTCCTCTGCAGACTGAAAAGGTATTTCATATTGTACATTTACATACTGTCCTACGTACAGCTGTAAATATCCCAAAATGTTCCCTAAAAGATGTTTCCACTAATTATCCCGAGTCACTGTTGTGCAACTGAGTTGATTTCTTCCTGAATGCATTTTTCATCATTTCTTAAATCCACGCTAAACTTTCTCTGCTGGTTTAAATAATATATTCTCTTTGCTGTTCCTGTTCTCGTCTTCATGCGTGGAAGATGTACTACATTGTATTATATGGTTCTCCTCTGCATCATATTTGATGTTTAGGTATTATAGCGTAGATGAAAATCGTAGACCTTAAGCTATCGAAATGAGCTTGTGGACTTGTGGACTCAGTCCCATTTTTATAAATTTAGGATGGCTATCATTACATATAGATGTTTTGCCCACAGTCTGTTGAGTTCACAATATTGCATCTACAATTGACTAGAATATCTTTTAAAATGTACTTGAGTTTTTTATTCCTACTTTCTGTGGTGAGGTGTCACTATTAGCAACTTTATAAAGGTTTTTATACATAATTCATTTTGTTTCAATAGGTTTCTAGTTTCCATGATTTTTACCAAATTTTAAGACTCTTTCTGGTTATGCTTTTGCCTGGATTTGATTTCTCTAGGCTGTCTAGGTTCTGTCATAGCACCAGGTTTAAGCTGTGTATTGTTAATCTGTATTCTTTTTTTTAAAAGGTGGATCGTATGTCTTTTCCATGCGGTTGCACTAAAGAAGGGTGTAGCAATACAGCAGGTAGAATTGAATTTAATCCTATCCGTGTACGGACTCACTTTTTGCACACAATAATGAAACTTGAATTGGAGAAAAACAGAGAGCAGCAAGTTCCAGCTCTAAATGGCTGCCACAGTGAGATAAGTGCACACACTAGTTCTATGAGCCCAGGACCCCATCCAGCTGAATATTCAATTGCAGAAAATTTTGAGATTGAGACTGAACCTCCGGCTGCAGTTATCCATTCTCAGGCAGCCGAGGACTTGGGCTGCCCAGGGGAAGAGGAGGAAGAGGAAGACGGGAGTAGCTTTTGTAGTGGAGTTACAGATTCTAGCACGCAGAGTTTAGCCCCTAGTGAATCAGATGATGATGAAGAGGAAGAGGAAGATGAGGAGGAAGATGATGAGGAAGAAAAAGCAGATGATTTTGTAGAAAGCATGGGCTCCCATGCTGATATGGTGCCTCTTCCTTCTGTCCTTTGCTACTCTGATGGAACTGCTGTGCATGAAAACCACTCTAAAACCGCCTCATACTATACTAACTCTTCAAATCTGTATTACCAAATAGAGAACCATGTTGCTGGCACTGCTAACCAGATTGGTGAGTCTTACTCAGAAAGGGATGCTGTCAAGAACGGTAGTCTTTCTCTGGTGCCTTACAACGTGACTTCAGAACAGTTTGTTGACTACACGCGGCAATCAGAGGAAACTTTTAGCAGCCCTCATTACCCTTCTGCAAATCCCTCAGTGATTGTTTGCTGCTCATCTTCTGAAGGTGATAGCAGTGCTCCATGTAACAGTTTATACACTGAGCATAGGCCAAGTCACCCTCAAGTGGAATTTCACTCATACTTGAAAGGTCCTTCTCAAGATGGCTTTGTTTCAGCTCTGAATGGCGACAGTTGTGTACAAGAGCACCCTGCTGAGAATTCACTAAACCTCCCAGAAAAGAGCAGACTGCACGAAGAGTGCATCAAATCACCAGTGGTAGAAACGGTACCTGTTTAATATTAAAATTATTCTAGGACTGACTGCCTGTATTAAAATGCACTCACACTGGATTTCCTAGAATCTTACTTTTTTAAGAAGTAGACAACACTTGGACTATAGTCAATGTTCCAGACCCATTTTGTTTTCTCAAGCTACACTGGCAGCGGTATTGCACAAAACCAGTTCATGTAAAGATTTAAATAAAAGTAATCAAACTGTCTTTTGATAAAAATAAAACACGTAAGTAAAAAACACACTCAACATATTTCAAAGTAGCCTACCTGTCAAAGTATGTGAAACCTGCCAAGCTATCTGAATCAAAGCTTCGTGTTTTTGATTGTCGGGCCTGTGCAAGATTGTTAAAAATGATACTTTGAAATAATCACGTTTAGAGTCCTAATTTTCAACATATCTGAAAAAATGGTAAGTTTAATGTAAAAGTAACTACTGTACAAAAAAGTTTTAATTGTTCTGTACTGTATGTATTTTATTTATGGTAGTTTAGTACTCATGTTTTGATAAAAATGAACAGCATGTTCATTTGAGCAGAAGATCTGTATCTAGTTACAAAGAGCATGTCCACTTTTCATCTGGATTCATTTTTTTTATATACTATTTCTGTTAAATTATCTTTAAATGCATTTTTAGAGTGTACTATTTTCTCTTTTACTGTTCTTGACAAACAGCAGAGTCAGAAAGGGGGCATTTACGTCTTCTAGAAAGGTGAAAGGTAGACAATCCTCCATTAAAATTAAAATCAGTGGCATTCCAGAACTAGTACCCTCTCCCCAAAGAAAAATTATCTTGTATATAATGGCAAAGCAGTAGCTTAAGCTTGCACAGCACCTTTTTAGCCCAACATTCAGCTATTTATGCACTTTAGTGCCATTTTTGCAGTACTGTATTAACTGCGGGAACTGTGAATTATTTTGGAGAAATGCCATAGCTCCAGACTCTGAGGTGTATGTAAGATCTTAAAATTAATTGTAACAAAACCTGTATGTTTTTCCCAAGCCAGTTTATGAGTATGTCAGTAGGTAATTTGTAAAAGCAGAGTCTTGCTGATCAAAGTTTAAATGAAGCATGGGAAAAAATGTGAAAGTGTCTAGATTTCCTAAATATTTAGCAGTTTTTATGAAATATGAGACTGGCTTTTGTGGACTTCTGATTGTATCTCAAATGTACAGAGTCATTTGATCTAATTAGGAACCAGTGGATTCAGTGAGGAAAGAGCTTCAGAAATTTTATATCTGCTAAAGTTTGCAAGCAAAATAGCACGTGCATCACATGGATATCTGTTACTTTGTACACCATTTGTTTTTAAATGAAATGAGAATTAAAATACCTGCTGTATCTCGCTGTATCTCAACCTTCCATTTAATAACCAACCTTGCTTTCTTCTAGAAAAGGAGGTATTTTAATACCTGCTTTTCTGTACACTGATAATCCTGCACTGCCTTATTTTGATTTCAAAGTCTATTTTAAGATTTTTGTTCTTCGAATACAGAAATTTAATTTATTATACATCAAGTGGGTTGAAATGTAGCCCTCATTTGTTTGTCAAAATAAGGATTCAGCATCTTAGTTTTTATCTGTGTCAAATCTAGATGGTTAACAGTATGCATGTAAACACAGTGTAAATTTTAGCTCTGTAACTGTGACTTCTGGTTAGAAGCTCTTTAAAACATCATGTACAGTACTCCAGTAGAAAAACTGCCAGGTTTAAAATATGCTTTTTAAAAAAATAAGCTGACTTCATTGTTTTTATATGAAAACTGGGCAAAGTGATTTCTCATTTTTATGCTAAATTAGCAAAATATTTTTACTCCATGTAGTAGCTGGAAAGGTTTTTTATTTACTTGTTTCCACAAGAAGTCCTACATGTTTTATATGAACTGCATCAAAAAGCCCTAATTCTCTAGGGATTGGATTCCACGCTTCCCCCATATTCCATCTCCTGGGAAGGCGCAGTCATGGCTATCTGGCTCAGCAGTTCTTTAGCCTCTCTTCTCTTAGTCACAGAACGTTCTAGTCTTTCTCTAAAGGCCGAGTAGCCAGGTAAGCACAGGTATTCTCCAATTCCACTTAGCAAATACCCAACTTTATTTTTAAAGGGAACCATGTTAGTTCATAAAAAGTTCTGTATCTAAGAATAATATTATTCTGATCAGGCTATTCTATGGGCAAATGTAACACCTCTGTGTATATACGCATCTTGCATTAACAACAGGCTGAAATCTGGCACTCTCACTCAACACCAGCACCAAAAGCACAAATCCCTTCTACTTGAGCTGGGACGGTAGCTGTGAATCAGTAGCAGCTTTTTAACCTCAGAGTGTGTTGGATCATGCACATTTTACCAGGGTATTTCTCTCAGGGGAAAATTAAATGAAATTTTTTTTTTCATTATTCACCCCTGTACTGAGCAATAAGAAATTATATTCTCGGCCCCTGTGCTTTCCTATGAAAAAATATCTTTAATAATGTTAGCAAGCACAGTAAGTGATTAACTTTATAAAATACATCTCGGCTACCTTTAAACTACCGAGATGATAGTTGTTTAATATCTCCATTGGCACAGGCTTCAGACCCCAGGCCTCCTTAATATTAGCATCTGTATAAATTTCTGAGTACTTTGATGTATATGTTCCATGCCATTGGGGCATCGGGGGTGAGTGCAGCTGAGTTCTCTAAAGCTTGCAGCACAGGATGGCGAGCACCAGCTTGTGATAGGGTAGAGAAGGCAGTGATTCTATAAAGAGCTTGCTTAAAGTAGCCAGTTCCTGGGAGTCACAAAGTAAAATGTGCAGAATAAAGATTTATGTTGAAAAAATATTCTTAACTACCTGGTGATAATATAGATAGTGATACCTTTCTTTTGATCCAATCTGGTGTTTTGTCATCAAGATTTGATCTCAGTACACAAAGCAAACAAATCTTGTTTAGTTCTTGCAACAAGTTACAAAGTCAAGTCTGTTTATAGTTCATGGAGATATCCTGGTAGCTATACTAATAATATCAACAGGCCTAAAAACAGAGAGAAAAAATCCAGAAACCTTTTTTCAGTATAGGCTAAACCTGTTCCCCAGACAATTCCATACCAGCAGATAACAAAGCCAAGGCCTTTTCTAGCATCTGTAAGTTGACTAGAGTGAAAAAAAAGAACAAACACCAAAGGCACAGCCCTGACCAAAACAGGTGGCTAATTTAACTGTGACATCCAGAGTAGGCTATAGAAATCAGGTGAAAGGCAACATTCCTACCCCTTGATTAGACTTACATGTTTAGTTTAGAAGAAAAAAAAAAGTGGCCTTCATATAAGGAAAGATAAATCATGGGATGGAAAATGTTTTGATGTTATTTTCTAAGCTAGTGTATAATAATATATGATGTGTCCCATTTCCCAGTTGGTTAATATTCATGTTGATAAACAGTTCTTTCGTTTTGGGTAATCTTATTTCTGCATGCTAAAAGTATTAGGCTACTAAATGATAAACAGCAGTATTTGCTTCTGTATTGATAAACTGTATCATTTGTGGAAATGTTTACTTTACTGATAGCTGTATCAGCTTTATTTCCCAAGATACTTGGCTACTGATAATCACTCCAAAGAAGCCAGGTACTAAATTACTAGATAGTTTATGATTACACTATGTAGTTCAGAAAAAATGAATCATAAGAGAAACATTTCCCTTTGTTAAAATAAAACAATTTTCACACAGATCATCACTGGAACAGCACCTAAAACTGGGTGCCTTTTTTGCTATAATGTGAACTTTAACAATGCATTTTTTCCAAGAGGCAAAGTTTTTATATAAAGCTTTAACTCATGTTAGACACAGACAGAATTAGAGCTTTTCTGGCAAAATTGTGTGATTGCAGTTGTTTCATAAGACCTATAACTCATGCCCACTGGACCATTCTTTAAAAAAATAAAAGCTGGTCAGTAAAAGTTTCTAATATTTCTTTCCTTTTTCAAAAAAATATAATTAATTCTTTGATGAGCGCTATGCCATTTTCATGAGAAAATTCTAGATTTGTAAAGTTTTAATGTTTTTCATTTACCTAAGTTCTTGCTAGTGAATCATAATTTGAGTTGACATTTATCTATTTTAAGGCCATTGATTACACTATCCTAGTAACCATCACTTGCTATAAATATGGTTCAGCCAGCTCACTGAGCTGTTAACTGAGTCAGTTAACAAGTGATCCTGCCTTTTGTCTCAGTTGCTGCAGAAATTGTGTGTAGTATTCATGGTGCTGTTACTCACTGCATTGCTAAATGATCCAGATCCAGTTTCTAATCTTATCTGGGTGTTGTATTTCAGTAAACGTGCTAACAAACTGATCATGTAGCATCCCCTGCCTCACAATCAAGAGGATATCTTCACAGCTAGTTTGTTAAAGATTGTATACGTACATTTGCATGCATTATGGTTTTTGATATTTTCAGGTGTTCCTGACTCTTTGATAGAAATGTAACATACTGCATAGAGAGTATTGGGCTCAGACAGGAGACCTGAGTTCTGTTGGCTTTGCCTTTGTCCTGCTGTGTCACTTCCATTTTCTGTCCTATGGTTTTTAAGGTACTCGGAGGTAATGTGATAGTCATAGTTCTATAAAACGGGCAACATACCATTTTTCCCCCCTCTTTTTTTGGCATCATAGCTAAAGTTTTATACTGCTAAGTCAGTTTCCCAATAAAGCCCTGTCCAGCTCAGAAGTGAAAAGAAATTCAAAGAGCAAAAGCAAGTTCTTTTGGACTGGATTAATGAGCAAATTTTATCATTAACAATAAATTTCAAAGTGAAAATGAGAATAAAAGCTGTGTTGAATATACAATATTTACCTGTGCGGTGCTTACCATTTGAGCAGCAGGACTGCAGTTTGCCTGCAACACCGTACTTGGCAGCAACAGGCAGTCTCATTCCACTGCACGGTGTCTTCTTCCCCCAGCTGAATTCTCTCAGTTGAAACTCCTTGTCTGTGCTGCTCCTGTAGGGAAGCAGGTGCCCTTGCTCAGAGCTAAAGTAAGAGAGAGACCCATGGTATTATTTTAAAAGGCATTCACTAAATAAGAAACTCCTGTGTTACAGCTCATGCGTTGTATACACTTATATTTATTGTGCCAGTTGTTTATTTTCCTGAAGCAGTCAGGAACAGGGACAGAAGAAGATGATCTGGGAAATCCTTAAGTGTTTAGGGGTGTTACACTTTCCCACTGGGACTAAAGAGTAATTCTATCATCTACTTTATTACGGTGGCAGAACACTTGATGTAAAATACTTAGAAAAAAATAGAATTAACTCAGAGAATATATTCTATAGAATTTATTTCTAAAATACTAAATCTGATTACTATTTTTTTAAAATGGTAGAAATCTACTGTTATTTTCAAAACAGAGTCTAGTTCATTAACATGTTCCTTGGTGTAAGAAATCTCAACATTTGCTTTTTCAGTGTTTCCAGGGTTTTTTTAATATTCCTTAATTTTGTTGTTTTCTGTAATCGCTGTCCATGTGCAAATTATTAATTGTCCATTTTCTCCAGGAAATGTGAAATCCAAAGCACGAACATTGTAAAGTGATGAACAAGTGTGATTTAGTTGTAAAGATATCTTGAGTCAACACACTCTAGAGTTCTTCATAAATGCTTCACGTTCACTGTCTCTTCCCACTCTGGGATCAGAGGTGGCTTTTAATTTTATTGCTAATAAATGTGCCAGAGTACTGGTTTCATTTAAGGAGGAAAGTTATAACATCCTTTAAAACTTTCTGCTACCCTACTGGCTGACAACAAGAATTTTTCCTTTTTATAAGAACATCCAATTCACGAAACACCTGTTTTGCAGCTTTTTCCTTTCTTCTTCCTTCCTCCGTTCATCTTTGTGTTTGGGAAAGGTCTGTTGTACAGTAAGGCTTTTGATGAAAATCAAGCACAGGGGTAACTCTTAGTGCCTCGTTGTCTTCTGAGGCCTGTAGATCCAGGGGAAGAGTCTCATTCTTCATACAGCATCGTCCCCAGTACAGGATGAAAATCCAAGGTTAGGGAAAGCAGAAAACAGTAATTTAGGGGAACAAAAAGTTTCCTTCAAACTACTGTTATGATTTTTTTTTTCTTTCTTCTAATATAAAAGTAATAAATAATAAATTCAAAGCACCCTTTTATAAAATAGAAGTGAATTAGATGCTAAAAAGGAAAAGTTAAAAGTATTACTCTACTGCTGTATAGGATTGTACTTACTACACAGAAGGTCCCACTGACTGGAGAACCATATTCACGATGCTCTGTATTGCCAGTTGAGAAGATGATAGTCCTTCACTCAGGGCTGAGGACAAAAAAAAAAAAAAAAAAGTCAGAAGGCAAATTTCATTTATTCATCTATTTACTCAATTATTTTAATTTGGATCTTAGCAATGACACTTTTGTTTTACTTCAGTATTTTATGAATGAATGTTGAATAGAACCAAGTCAAAAGACGTTTGCCTCGTGTATCTTCTCTAACTGTGCACTTTTCCAACAAGCCATGAAGACTGGATTAGCTTTTCTTGATGGAGAGGAAAAATGGCAGACGATACAAATGAACATCACTGTTCTAACACAAGGCTCAAGATAATCCTTTGTCTTGAGGCACAGGTGGATACACCCTGGAGTGAGTGAGTGGAGAACAGAAAGGGCAATTTAGAGATCAAGAAGGATAAAGGTTTGAGGTAGATTGATGAGGACAGTTTTTTTCTTCAAAAGGGCAAAAGAAAACATTATATATAAAAAAGGAAGGAAAAAAGGAAATTAAGCTATCCCCAGAGCGAGGATGGAAAAGTACATGCATGTTCACTACAAGCTTGGCCACGTTAGATCATAATAATAATTCTCTTATTTAATATATTTAAAAAAAAACCAAACATAACTCAGTGCAAACAGGAAATGTCATTTTTCCATACCAGTTGTATGCAGGCAGACATTAAATAAAAGACTTATCCAAAAGCATGGGGTAAAAACTACGAAGCAAAGCAACACCCTGGAAGCATTGCTACCACGTCTTCTCTTTGTCTATGTCAACTGAAAAGCCATGTTCAGTATCATTTTAGTTACCTCTGGTCCCAAGCACATGTTCTAATATAAAGTGTTTCTCAGCTACAGTAATAGGTATCCTTTTTTATTAGCATTTGAGTTTGGGATTTTCAGATGAGACTTACTACATTACGGCAGCTAATTCTTCCAGCGTTCTCCATCTTACACTTTTTAAAGATGTTCTTAAGAATGAACTTCTGGGTTGGTGTGTGGGTGAAGGCCAGCCTTGGCACTGGGGATCACTGTAAGGAACCACCCATCTCTGAGTCTCTGATAAACAGACCCAACACGAGTTTTCAGCTTCTGGAAAAGATTGCATCATCGTGTGCACTGGCAGCTGGTTCTCTTAAAACAAAACTAGAAGCAAGCATGCCCTTTTTTTAAACCATTTCACACCGATACCACCACTTCAGTTCTCGCATAACGATGCCCACGTAAACAGTGCTTAACAACTGGGCCCTTCTTTTAATTGACTGATTGTAGGCACTTCTATGGAAATACGTCTGAAGTGTAGTTTGTGAAACATGTTTTAAAAAAAGTGTTTGATGTAAAATAAGCGCTAGACATTTAACAGTGCAAAAATAGTCAAAATCTGTAGATTACAAATCCGTTCCTAAGAGCCTCAGCCTTGTAATATTGTCTTAGTAAAGTTGGTCTTTTAAGTTAAATTGCATTCTGGTGTAATAACCTTTTGCAAATAAAATTATTAATACTTATGTACTGGTTAATACCTGTTAACATAAAACATGTCAATGGTTATTTTTTTTTATTTGTTTCTATCTACAGCTAGTATATAACAATTTTGAAAAAAAAAAAAAAAAACCACAAAACCAACACTTACTACATTTTTTTAAGTGTTTTAATTTTTTTAACAAATGCAAAGTATGTAACATTTACACTGTCTAGTCCAGCCCTGTCTTTTAGAAGGTTCATCTGTGTGTGTGTGTGTACATATATATATATATATATATACACACACACACACACCATAAGAATATAAAACTGCTTTTGAAATTTATTTTGGGAAGTAGTAAATAATGCACTGCTGCATGGATTCAAAAGCTCTTAACTTGATGATCTTTCAGACGTGTAATCCATTTGAAATGGGACTAGTAAATTGTGGTGTAATTGCAGCCATTTGTTTAAAATTTGTACATTACTTCTAATTTTACTAATTTTTCGAGAAAAATAATTATGTTAAGTACTTACCGTTTTCCATTGCAGATGATCTTGCATACAAAAATTGTGGAGATCTCAACAGTAAAGCAACATATTTAATTGGACTCCTGCTTTTAAACTGTTTGAAGAAGCAAAGGGAAATAAAGTTCATCTTAAAATCTGTACGTGGAAATAATTTTAAGCTTCATGAACTACACATTTCTTTATTTTCCTTTCCATTTTTTTAAAACAAGTTGTAACATCAAAGATGCCAAAGGGTAATATAAGCTACAATAATATTCAACAGAACTTAACCTAGACCTTATGTTGTAATAATTTATTCAAATTAACTGTATTCTTCTGTATTTATATTTTCGGTATTTATTATGAATGATATGGAATTTGATGTATTTATTGTGGCTTATTATTGCAGTGTATATATTACAAAAATGAGCATTTTTAAGTCTTAACATTAGGTTTTTTGTTAATTAGTGGCACTTGTATTGGCTGTATTTTTATTATATATTGTACAATATATATTGTCCATTTGTTTGCAATGAAGTAAAACAGGTTTCTACGTTACATCATGGCTGCCAGTGCATCGTGCATCTTATTTCTCCTCTGCAGTCACTAGACGTCCCTCTCTCATCCAACAGAGCCAGAATTAGTGCTGCACCTCCTCCTCCAGAGCCTCTAAAGACGCTCTGTGAAATTTCAAGCATTTCTCCCATTCCTTATAGTCTGATAGTGTAAGGAGAAACAGTTTCTGTTTAAGGGGGTTTTTTGTTTGGGTGTTGCTGCTGCTTTTCTTTTTTTTAATTATCATATAAATATAGAAATGCCTTGTTAGGTATATCCATTTACCCTTTAATGATACTACTGCCTACACTGTTTTTGGAATACATGTTTATTACATGATTCATCTGTACCTATCATGGGGAATTTAATAATTTTGGTTATAAGTTAATGAAAGAATGGTTTCCAACAGCAGTTGGGAAAAAATTTTGCAACAGCTCTCTCTAGTGGACAATGTTCAGTAATTTTATACAACAAAACATTTCAATGGCTACCATGGTATATAAAGCATACTGTTAAATCTCGGGACAACTGCTTAATTATTTTGAAAACTGCTGATCAACATTCCTTCATTATGAAAATAATAGACAGTCACAGATCTCTGCCATCTTTTTATTCTGATACTTATTAAAATTGAGCTGTACTCTTGAAAAGGTAATTTGTCCTTAAGTGTGCATTAACAACAAATTACATATGGCTAAATAATTTGTATTTACAAAAACTGATGAAGATCAGATGTTGTTTTCTAGATTTAAAAAAAAAAGTGCTCTTGCAGGATTTAAGGTAGTATTTGTCTTTGTTAGGAGTTAATACAGAATGGAATAGATTAACATCTGCTGTCAGACTGCTTTTTGCATTGCCACGAACTATAGTTAACAGTGATGCTCCAGGGCTTGCTAAGCCATACTGACACAAAAAATTTTGTAAAACAACTTTCAATACTAGTTTTCCACTGTAAGACATCAGGATGCCAGTTTAGAAGTAAGAAGACTTAACACTAAGATTCAGATGTAAGTTGACGTATTAATAGTACTCACGTAATTTTATACTCACGCAACTGTAAATCAGCAATTGCTCCTGAGGGTGATGCAACAAAATTCTCAGGTATGGTGAGCTGGCGAAGTCCCACTGCAGTTATTGGTGTCATAACCAGATAGAGCCACAAAGGACCAGTGGGGCCTCTTGTTCAGGGGTGGGAGCTGCCCAGAGCCACAGGCCTTGAAGTCCAGAACATTTAGAACCTGCTTTGTCTTGCTGGGAGTAAGGCTGAGCTGTCCTCATCTGAAATCAGGCCTTCTTCAGCACGTGTGATTACTTTCCTGGATGTGTAAGAGAGAATGGTGAGATGGAGGTTAACACTTAATACTGGCTTTTCTGGTAACCTTCAGTAGTTTACATAGCCATCTGACATAAGAATTTTTACATGCTGCATACCTAATAGCATTTCTTTTTTACCCCTCCATGGGGCATGAGAAGAGCATAATGCCATTGCTGATAGTGCTTTAAACTGAAATAAAAAGCATTAAAAGAGCCAGAGAACCCCCTGCAACAAACTCCAATCTTCAGCATCCCACTTACATGAATGTTAACAGCATCCAGAAGAGCTGTAGATAATGTGAAGCACTTGAAGATGTTTTAGTTGGATTTTAGACGTGTAATACAGCATTAAAGATAAATAAAATTCTTCAATTTGATTTATTAGCTTAGAGGAGAGTAAAGGCATATGATTGACATGTTTCAGTATGTACTATGGCCGTGATGTCTGCAGGACAAATGAAGAAATTTGCTGAAGGAACAAAGCTAAATATTTTCAATAGACATTTCTGCAGAAATTTTGTGCTAACAAAAGAGAATGGAGTTCTGGAAGGAGGGCGACATGATGCAAAGTGGAGTGTAGCCCAAAGGAACATTCCACAGATTTTAAAATGGTTAAGGTGTGATGGCATAGCACCCTGGACTACTTTCACTATATTTTTCACTATAAACAAATTATTTTTCCACTATGTCATTACTAAAGAGTGTTCTGGATTATGCAACAAATATGTCTTGATTTCTGATACTAAAATGGGATTTAGCATTCACAAGCTTTTGTTTGTATGGCTTGGTTTTATATGTGCATCCCAAAATGCGCTACATAGGCAGACTGCAGAAACAATTTTGACTTCCACATTTGTGTTTAACTGGTTTCCTGTTTAACGACAAGCTGCAGATAATGGCAAACCAGCCTTTGCAGAAGAGCTCTTCCACTTATACTGGAAATCACCATGCAAAAAGCATTTTTAGTTCTACTTATTCTAGCATTTCCCTTGGGCTTTTGACTCCAGTCCCAGGCAAGTACTGGAAATGCACACGGGAGCCACATGTTGCCTTTTTTGGCCACACCTCTGCCTCTTCCTTCCCTTTTACATCAAGGCATGGGCTCATCTCGCTTGGCCTTTGAGTGGCTTCATTTTTCTGCAAATGCTCTCGTTCTGACTCCAAGTTGCTGCCAACAATTAGGGCTGCTCCGGCTTTAGTTCATGGCAGAGCTAAAGCAGAAGCCCAGCTTTTAGTAAGGCCCAGCCAACCCACAGAAATCAATTTTTGTTCCACAGCCAGCAAAAACATTGCAAGTCTACACTTTAGCCACAGGCCTTGAATGAGTCAATAGATGGCCTTCAGCTCTTCATTTCCAGTTACCTAGACAGGGGGGTAGTAGCCATGATTTGCCCTGAGCTCACTAGCTTTCTCTTTCCCTGATTCCTTTTTCCTCCCCCGTTACACATTCCAATCCTTTTTGAAAATATACACAAGAGCGCTTGGGTTAAGAGTCAGGCAACTATATCATCCTAGAGTAGCACAGTTCAACATTTAGGTAAGTGTGTCGTGTCACTGTGAACTGCTATTCCCCGCTAACGTAAAAATCTTACTATTGCATAGAAATAATTTAATTTCAAAGTAAAGTTTAACATTAAAGCAAGGATTTTTATTTAGGTGCAAGGTAATCTAGGTGGATAAATGTTATTTTACTGAATAGCCTTCGGAAGCAATTATACCCATAAGTTACAAAAACATATGTAATTGTCTTCCTTAGTAGTGGATCCAGTAGCTGGCAGCCTGTCAACAGACCAGTTATCAGCCATGAGGCATGTGATGATTTCTCTGATAACATACACATTATCAGCCACTTACCTTTTCCCTGACAGCACTGCAAATTTGAAGTACAGAAGGTTTAGCCACATGAGAAGAAAAGCATCCAGACTTTTCAGACCTGTATAATCCAGGACACACTGAAGCACTCCATAAGAATCACTAATTCAGTGAACTTTGGTGAAAACCATCATTAAGAAACCTCAGCAGCACTTTATGATTCTGATCTTGGAGTTCTTCCTTAAAGTGCTTACATATATTTCCTATGTGAATGCCATTTCTGACAATATTCTTCCCACAACAGATTCCAGATTCCTTGCTATTTCACTTCTCCATCTTTTCCTCAAACTCTCACTGCCCTTCGCTTGCACAGCTGTCCCTCTCCTAGAGGAACCGGACCCCCTACTTTCCTTGTTTTTCTTCCCACATCTCTTCCTTCTCCCTAGCATTTCTCCTAGTCATGTTTCCAAGTCCAGTCAGTCCTTGATTTAAGTACCCAGCTTTCTGTCTTTGTCACTGCTTCCCAAAGTTATGTTCTGGTCCTTCAGGCTCCATCAGTTTCTCCTATCAGATGCACAGAAGGCCCCTTTTTCTTGAGATTTGAATGTGCCTGAAAATTATTTTTTATTCCTTATATACAAGTTAACACCTGCTAGTATAACCTACCTTTCTTCTGCAGCTGCCATCACCAGGCATTTGCAGATTGCACAAACTGTTTATATTGCATCATGCAAGTTACTATGTTATTTTCACTTTAGTCATTCACCGGTTTTATATGTTTATCTCCTACACGTTTCCCAGGACTTAACTGCTAGTTGCAGTGGTTTCAGGCCTTAGTCATACTGAGTGAATATGGATGGAAATTTGACTACATACAGCTGTAAGCACTGCCAAGTTTCACAAACCACACATTCACCAAAGTAGATCATCCTTTCTGCAACTGCATTTCCAGGACATTGCCAACCGTACTATTGGTTTATACTGGACTACTACACATTGGGCTGTACATCTCTCATACTGCATGTCAGACTGCTAGACCTTTCTGCTTATTTTGAGCCAAAAAACCCAACAACAACCAAACTAAGAAAAGAAGGGAAACAAAATTAGTGATAACAGAGGACTGGGGAGGACCAGCCCCCAAGTTCCCACTTTAGGACCTGAGTTTTCTTCTATTTAATTTCTGCCCTCTCCCTAAGCTTTTGTCCTGGACAAATTCTGTTCTCTTTGCTGTTATCCTTTCAGTCACCCAGTCCTTCATACTAATACAGTCATTCCCTTCTTGAACCAGACATTATCATATGTATTTCTCCTTCATGAACCTAAGCATCAGATATTTCTTTCTGGAAGTTCAACACTGACTAACAATAATTAAGACACTACTGGCAAGTAATTTACCTTCAGCTGTCTTTGGAGTCTAGTAGTATTAGGAAAAAAATTATAACAGTACATAAAAATTATAACAGCACAATAAAGTATTCCATTCTGTAGGCATGAAAAAAAAACCCACCACAATAATCACTATTGATTAAGAATCTGTGCCTTATCTTGACACAATAACTAGATTTGCTCAAGAATGATGAGAGAGAAAGAATAACGACTTGCTAAAACCAAAGCATTTTTACAGAAATTTTACTGGCCTCAGAGAACATTCAGTGAAACATAAGTAGAAAAAAAATCAGTAAGATCAGTGGAAGGAATATCTTGCTAATTAACCATATATGTTTATTAAAGAGCTGAGATTTTTAAGATCTGCAGAGTAATTCCAATAACTATGCTAATTAGGGATAGGGGTCTTGGTGCCTTTCAGATCCAGGCTTCCTACAGATACAAAAAACAGCTGAAGGAATCCTTGGGAACCAGAAACAGAACAGATGCCCGATTGACTCCAGTTAAGAAAAAAAATAATTATTTCAAAAATAAAAATGGGCATTTCCAGGAGAAATTTTCTAAACCTCCAATCATATTTACAGATCTCCTATTGCTCTTCTAAAATTGTATGATATCTATATATACACACAGATACATAAACATACTTGGAAGTGCAATACTCAATGCACACACAGAAGTTAATTGCAGATCTCTGAACAGAATACAAAAAAAAAGTCACTTAATGTCCTCCTCTGTTTATGGAACTGCTTCCCATTTTTTTTGAAGGTATTAGGGAGTCCAAGTAAGACTGGACTGCTGTCATACTAAGTACTGCAAAAATGAAGACTAAAGTGTCATTCATAGGTTAAAGAGCAGATAGTAAACTTACAAAAAAAAATCAGAGTGTTTGCAATAGTAGCAATAGTTAAAAAGCCTATGTTCAAGTGTCTTATGAATTATAGGTTATTGAGCTATGTTAGGCCAGAAGAGAAGTCTCAAAAAACGAAAGGAAAATATTAAAGACAATTTTAAATCACAGAATAAATTTTCCCCATCCACAAGCTAGAACTGAACACAAAATATAATATCTTGGTGATCTACTATGTCAATTCTTCATAGAACACTGAATGACAAGCACATATATTGCTATATCTGCTATAATACGGTCCTAGATTATCAACTAGAAAAACAAAAAAGAGAGTGGAGCTCCACTAGCACTGAGCTCCTGCTCATGAAGAGACTCCTACCTCCCAGTGCAACAGAGCCCTTGTTTCCTTGCAATGTAAATTCTATGAAAGTTCTGAATGTTACCTCCAAAAAGAAAAATTGGTAATGAGTACACAAATGATGTTTCATATATGCAAATTCGAAGCTGACAAGCTTGTCAGAGAAGCAGGTTGAATGAAGAGACTACCCTTTAGCTGTATTAAAAATAATGCATTTGCTGTATAACACGAGCTAGGAACGAAAAGAACTCAGGTCCTTTTAAACAGTTATGCTAAATACCTTGTCTTCTAGAACAGGTTCCTTGAATACTCGGTTTCCTGGGGGATCAACACAGCACAGCAGCTATCTATGTGATCTCCTGTCATCTATTCACATTTGTTGAACAATCTTCTCATTGACCTGCATCCTATTTTTCCTCAGCTCCTCCAGTCTGTCAAGAGCATTTGTTGCCCTTCCAATATTGGTTTGATCTGCGAAAGTAATAAGAATACTTTTATTTATCAGAGGACACAGGCAGACCTTGATAAAATGCCATTCAATACAGGCTTCTAGTTTCACGGTGGTATTAATAACGCTTCCAGGAAAATCTTTTCAACAATTTATGTCCACACTGTAACAAGATATTTTAAATGATACCGGTTTAACTTCAGAGGGTATTCTCACAGGTGTCACCAAAAGCCTTAGAGAAGCCAAGACATGACTCAAAGGCATGATTATCAAGCCAGAAAAAAGAAATTGAGTTAATGCTTATGGCATATTCTTGCTGATCTTGTTTATTCACTTGCTGTTTTTTAGATAACTCAGAACTACTGAAAGGATGTCTTCTTGCTTTTCTTCAGAAGCTGAACTCATTAGTCAGATACTGTTAAATTAATGAAAGATAGGCTCCCTCCCCTCTACTAGAAATAAAAAAAAATCAGCCCACAACGCCATCCATCCATCCATCTGTCCATCCACCAGACTCTATAGCATTTATCTGTAAGGGTATTATTTATTTACCAGGACAAAAGGACAAATTTTGCATTTTGTCCTATTCAACCTTTAACACCCACCCCTTCACATTTATTCTCAGCTTTATATTTGTTCATGCAGCCAAATATTTTTCTTTGTCTCCACTTTAAAGAAGTTGGGGTTGTTCAGCATGGAGAAGAGAAGGCTCCAGGGAACAGCCTTTCAGTACTTTATGGGGGCTTCTAAGAAAGATGGAGACAGGCTTTTTCATAAAGTCTGTTACAATAGGACAAGAAGTAATGTTTTTAAACTGAAAGAGTGTAGATTTACACTAGCTATAAGAAAGAATTTTTTTACACCGAGGGTGGTGAAACACTGGAACGGGTTGCCCAGAGAAGTGGTTGATGCCCCATCCCTGGAAACATTCAAGGTCAGGTTGGAGAGCGCTCTGAGAAATATAATCTAGTTGAAGATGTCCTTGTTTATTGCAGGAGAAGTTGGAGTAGATGACCTTTAAAGGTCCCTTCCAACCCAAACTGTTCTATGATTCTATGATATATGTTTTTAAATACTTAATCAAAGGAAGGCTATTTATGAAGTCATAGCTCTACATGATCTATTGAAGTATAGTTGTGGATGCTTACAGGAATTTAATTGAAAGAGCTACCAGAATATTTAGGAAGGCCAAGGCCTCACTTGGACTGATAAAACTGAGGTCAGTCCTTTATAAAAGGGAAAAGAGCTATGACAAAAAAAGATAATAAATCAACATGTAAGCATTTGCACAAAAGATTATGTACAGATAACATTAGAAACCTGTTAGGTAAACATTGCATAAATCACTAAAAGGTAGGAAAAAAAGTGGAGTTAGTAGATAACATGCAATTTAAAAGCAATAATGAACAAAATGCTGAAAAAATGTATTAAGCAGCTCAGAAATCTATTACAATATAACTGTCATAAATTTTAAGTTTCATGAATTATAAAAAAAACTATTAAAAATTTACAAAATTAGTATCAGAATAAGCAGATTTTCCATAAAAATAATCACACATATGTATTTCAGTGAGATATTTTTTTCTTCTACAAAAGGAGAATCAACTTGCTAAAAGCTGAGCACAGCATGCTCACCTATTTGGCTTTAACCTGAAGATCAAATATTTAATTTTTTAAGTGAGGAAACTTAAAAAATACTGAGAAAGGTTCACTGCAAAAAGTAAAAAATTTAAAAAAAGAATTCAACTGATTGACCATAAAAATATACATATGAAGCGTCTTATTTTGTAGACAGTATATAATAATTTCTCATAACTCTACAGAGAAAACTGGTCTTCAGAAGTACTGAAAGCACGTGGAGAAATAATATATACACGGTCCCCAAGGTGAAAGAGGACTACAGGATCCATGAATCAGTGGATTCTCCAACACATAAAAGTCTTATCACAGAAAAATTGTAAACATTTTTCTTAATTGGGATCTCAATCATCTTTGGTATAACAGACTCCTAGGGAATCTCTGATGACACATTCTATATCCAACTTAAATAAAAGGGAAAAGAAACATTTTGTATATACATTAAAACATTTTGCATATAAAGTATACATCATTAAAAAATGCAGTATACACATATGATCACAGTTTAGAGTGGATCTTTTCTTTTAATAAAATGCTTCTGGCCTATAAATATGAAATCTTAATTGTTCTGGCCAAAGATCCACTTCTGAAAGGGGTCTGATGGATTACAGGATGTCAAACTCGGATGCTCTCCATTTCCTGTAAGGCACATATGTAGAGCTGCATTGTACAGAGTTTGATCCTAAAGTGGATAAAAAAAGAAAAAAAGAAAAAAAGAAAAAAGTGAACAAACAATGGGCATGCTATTTCCCCCGACCCTTTGTGGTTTTTTCCCCAATTTCATTATTGTTAAAAAGAGTAAGGCCATACTGGCAGTGCAGAGGCAGAGGGGCTAGCAAACAAATGCAAGTAGTCTGCAGTGCCAACTTATTTTGTTAGGAATCCAGCTGGATGCCCAGACACACACACACTAAAGTATCAACTGTTTTCATAAGTGACATTTCTAATACAGATTTAAAATAGTGAAATCATCAAGTTTTGGTCTGGTAACTCAAAATCTGAAATTATCTACATTTTGCTCCCAGAAATAAACTATTTTGGCTCCAGTTTTATTTTGTTGTGTTTTCTCTTTAACTGGATATCAAAAAATAACTTATATAAAAGATCACTGATAAGATGCTGATTCACTGCACAATCTAATTACCTTTTGATGCAGCCATTGCTCTTCTCCAACGGCAAAGGTTTTCTGCCCTTTGTAGCTACATTCACGAAGATGCACAGGTCCTTTCGAAGCACGCAGGCAAAGCTCCTTCTGAATGTTATGTCGAATTTCATGGTTTGCAGAATATTCAAAGTACTATTTAAATAATTTTTTAAATGTCAGTAAATAAATACAAACAAGAGTATTAAACTAAATTAAACCTTAGATATTCCAATACACAAATAGATTTCTTTTGTTAGTCAACAATTTGAGACACAGAATTATTTGATTTTTAGCACACATACTTTAAAAGTGTTTACCAAACTAAAAGCATTTTTTAATACTAATGCAATGGAATATATTGCAAATATAAATTGCATATGGCACCTGGTGCATATTTAGTTAGTATGCAAGATCTCATTGCTTGCTCCTCCAGGAATCATAAATAATTCAAGGAGATAAACTGAGAAGAAGAGATAGCTGCATGGATAACTTACATTTTGGCATTTTTTAACTTTAAAAAATTGTATTCTATTTTTGTTGCTGGATTCTGTTTTTTTTAGAGCAACCAAAATCAAAAATCTGTCATACGGAACAATACTGATTGCCATAAATCAGCTTTTGTTGCTTGATCTAAACAATAAATGCTAACAATAGGATGCTGTTACGTTCTCTTGTGAGACAACCATTAGAAAAATAATATAAACAGGTAGCTTGTGAGTGAATTTTACCATTATTTCCTGACAGGAGAGTACTCTTAAAGCTCAGGAATCCCAGGTTATAATTCAGATTTTAACAGGCATTTAATTCTAACAGTTACAGACACAGCTGTCCTTTTATACCTCTCATCCTACCCTGCCACCCTGGTCTCTTCATTTTCTCCCTCATTAAACAGCAGAGTTCCTATCATTACATCCCATTACCACTGTTTCTTGGCTCCGTATGTCAGCCGCCTTCACCATATCTTTCCTTTGACAATTAAGACCAGGCTCACTTTGCTCCCTGTGGCTTTCAACTATCTGTCCAATTGGTCAGCTTCCTCACTGCCTTGGCATCAACGGGAATAGCACTGAGGACAAACAGGCATCTCGCTCTGAAGTCTCTGCGCCCAACACTACTCCTGGAAACCAGCACTGATAGGAGCGACCTGTTTAGCCACTTAGCTCTCAGACATAATACTAGACTCTAACTCTGTTATAATCTGTTCTGATTTAGCTTTTGAACTCCAAAATCTCTGCAAGTCCTGAAAATACAACTTGAAAGCTATGTCTAAAACTTCATTAATTTTGGATATTGAGATGCTATTGCGATAGACATATTTTCAGCCCCAGAATATTCTAAAAAGATAGAATGATGAACAACTGAAGTACAAATCTGAGAACTAGTTCTCTCTTCCACTCTCTTTTCCTATCTCAAACATATGGACAAAAGACACAGCATGGAAAATTGCAGCCGGCATTGCTAAGGTCTGGTAAAGAACATACTAGAACTGAAAACACAGTAATGTAAAGAGAAGGGTTAAGTAAGCAAATATGCGTAACTCTCAAGCATTAAAATTCTCTGAAGGCTGGCATTTAAAGGGATTCAGACTGTTATTTTATGGCAGAAGGAAAAACATAAAACACAGCACTTGGAAAGCATAGAATTTTAGTACAGTCCAAGATAACTTAGAAAGAGAGGTGACAGCAGACCTCTTAATACAACATCTTGGTACGGTGTTACTGCATTAATAACTGTGACAATGCAAACAGGCTAATAAAGTATTAATCCACAACAGAAGAAAACCAAAAGTTCAATACTGCAATAACCTAACGTAACAGGTGAGTTGTTAAACCTCCCACAAAAATTTATCAGAAAAACATCAACTAGGATCACGTGTCTGAGCTTTCACAGGGCCACCAATGCATGGCTTTTAAGATTGAAGATTTTATTTTAAAAGATAAAAATTAGAACCATTTTCTAACAAAAACTTTTAAACTTTTGTTGACCTTTAGTTATTAAGGATCTACAGTTAATAAACTTTATTCCTTAAATAACTCTTTAAGCCAACAACGAAGTGATCATTTCTGGGCAGGGAAGGAGATATTTGTTTTATTAGTATTACAGTAGTGCCTGAAGGATTCTATATCTGACATCTATTGCAAGTCATACTGTACAAGAAACAGAGCACCATTACTGCGTCCAAGATCTATGCATCAAAGAAAGCTTTTCTTGGACACATTTAATCACATTATTCATCTGCATTAGCCAGTACAGGATAGACCACTTTGATTCATTTGCATTAGCCAGTACAGGATAGACCACTTTGACCTCACACTATGAGGCTGCAAGCATGATAGAGAAGGTGGCTCAGGCCTGGCCACTTGGTCTCCCATTGGCTGGATTCCCACCAACATCTTCCTTGACAGTGCGAGTCCTGGTGGCAGAGAAAGAAGCAATAGGAGGAAGCATAAGGAAAGGAAGAATTAAGAAAACAACACTTACAAGAAAGTAGTAAGGGTAGGTTTTGCATGGAAAGGAGAGATCGAGTGAAGCAGTTCAGTTGTGTTAAAAATCTGAATCTGTATGCTGAACATAAAATGGTAGAAGCAGGACACAACATGAAGAGCAGTATGACGTTTTCCTTGAACAATATATATAGGAATTAGCTCAAAAGGAAAAAAAAGAAAAGAGAAAAATTACATATTAAAAATGAGTCAATTTCTCTAAAATAAATGAAAAGCTTTAACATGGTAAAGTTACAGCTGAACAGATCATAAAAATCAGGTATTGAATATTTTACCTGATTTCCTCCAAGTCCATGACAAGAATACATAATCAATGGTTTGCCACCATGGTTATTTTCACCAGCATCCAGACACATGCGGTTACCTATGTTTTTTAACTAAAGAAGAGGTGTTATCAGAAACAAAAATAAAAACAAAGAAGCTCAGTGGGGATGACAAAAAGTTAAACTGTCTCACTAGCATAGAAAACTAACCTTTGGCTTAACAATAATCACAGCTGTTAGTTAATTTTTCACTTTCTGCTATGCTCAAATCTGAAAATCCTAGTCTCTCAGAGTTATTTTTTTCTAACCAAAAGCCTAGTAACTATGTTATGGTTGACTACAGCCTCTCTGTGAGTTATCAGGCTACTGGTATACAAGGTTACTGTTACTCAAATTACTATTTGAACAGATACACATAAAATATTTAAAATTGGAGGAAGGGAAAGTGCCAAACATAGCTTTCACATTCCCCTCAAGCTAAGAGTTACCAGTTGTTTAATATTTTGTTGTTTTTAGCAATGCAACGTCTAGCAAGTTATTTGGCAGAGGAAATGCAATGGTCTTCAAAAAAAATTGTGTATAAACACACATTTTCCTCATCCTAAACCTAATTCTGAGAAGCAAACAGCTGTCCAGTTTTCCTTGTCAACATAAATGAAAAATTCTTTCAGACTTCTTACTATATAAGGCAAAATTTGCCTTGACCATTCATGAAATCCCTAACCACGAGCTTAGTACTTTTGTATCATTTTAACTGTGACAGGCAGATTGTTGCTTATTTTAGCAGCTTGCAAGATTCCATTAAGCAAGGCTACTGTTAGCTATTAAGAAGCTTTGCTTAAATTTCATATCACCATTGACAAAGCTATAAAATATTCAAATAGCTAAGTATGCAGAAGAGATTCTTTGTCCTGAGTAGTGACAGAAAACCCTTTAGCTATTAATGATACCCAAAATGTAAATGCTCTGGCTAAGGTAGCACAAAAGATTAGCAAACTTCCCAGATGATGGAAAATTATAGAAAATAATTAAACTTACATATCCAGAAAATAAAGGATTCAGGTCTGGGACATATGCTTCTGGATAAATATTATTGAGATACCAGGTAAAATTTTTACACTGCAGACGCTGCCTTAAATCAAGTCTTTTTGAGATGTCTCCAAATGTTTTCTGTTAGAGGAAAGGAAATAAGGAAGGATGAAAAAGAAATATACCAAACATCACTAATATCAAATTTCTACATATAAATCTATGATATTCTGTACTGTAGCATTAAACAAGTTTTAAGCTTCGTTTGTTGATTTTATTTTTTTTAATACCATACTACTACAAGTACCGCTGTTTGGTTTTTTTTGCCACAATAACACCACTGAGACCCTGCCTTCAGCATTTCAAAGCACGTGCAAGAAAAATACATTGCAACATGAAAAGAATAGAAGTAGTCTTAGTCCCCAGAGGGCTTTAACGGTGCCATGAAGTGGGAAAGTACAAACAAGACCATATTGATGACAGCTATAAAGCTAACTGATCTCACTAAAAAGAGTGAGCTGAAATAATTAATTGGATTAATTAAATAATTAGCGTAATAGTCAGTACAATGCAGAATCTCCCACACAAAATTCAGCTGTCTAGCTGCTAAGCATGCTCAGGAAATCTAACGCTACTAGTGATAAAATGTTCACAAAACTGTATCATATAAAGGGAGAAAAAATAGCTTCTTGAAGAAAACTCTAGATTCCAGCTGGTGAAAGACCAAAGTTCCAGAAAACTAACAAAAATAAATAAACCAACACCAAAACACATTGAATTTAACTTAAGTTTTTAAGCAGATAGAGACAGGATGAATATCTATCATTGAAAAAGTTTTATTCTGCAGCTAAAGAACAATAAAACCTGCTCTTTAAGTAAAAATAATGAGACTAATGAGACACTGTGTTTCTTACTCCAAGTTAGTTTGCATTTTTTGTGCTCAGTAGCTTTTCGCATGTGTTTCTGCTGGCTGTTTGGTGCAAACCCAGGATTTCAGAGAATGTATGAAAAAATCCTACCAATCAAAAAACCCCACAATACAAAACATTATCACCACCCAAACATTTAAGTTTCTCATGTTTGCTGGGGCTACAGCATTAAGCAAACTAAACTCTGTCTTTTCATTGAAATATCTAGAAGCCTTACATACTTTGTCAATAAATAACTTTTGCTCACCAAAACTTTCAACGCAGCAAGCGTGATTTCTAATACCACCACCACCACCTACTTGTTTCACAATTTTTGCTGCCTCTGTGTTTCTTCGGTAAAATATTTCTTTATATTCATCCATCCAGACTTCTGCAAGGCGGACTTGATTACGTGTGATCACTTGAGTACCTTTTGGGAAAGTATGGGGACTCTTGCTGCGAAAGACATGGCCAACAACAGAGCAAGGCATGATCTCCAACTGTCCACCACATTGCCATACCTAATAATAACATTTTTTATGTAAGTGTGCTGCAATTAGAATTAGGGGGTGGAAAAAAATTCAGTAACATTATTGTTCACCAGAAAAAAAAACAACCAAACCACTAACAAGAGTGCACATATCAGGCATACCATAAGTGAATTTCCTAATCAGGTAAACCCTGGAAATGTACATTTCAGCTACCAACCCTAAATACATTTGAAAAAAAAATAAAAAAATCAGTTCAGTGAGCATGTTTGTTGTTTACTTCATAGGTCAGTAGTAATTCCTTTCCCATGTCCTAATTGGCTGATTCAGCACAGAAGTCAAGATATAATACTAATTTGTCCTTAAAAATCCTGTACAGTGTCAGTATAGAGACCACAGCTAATTAAGTATCTAAACTTACTCTGAAAGACATTTCTATATTTTCACCTCCCCATATTTCCATTTCTTCATCATAGCTTCCAATATGTTCAAAGTAGTCTTTTGATATTGAGAAGAGACCTCCAGCAAAAGTAGGTGTTCTGCAAAAAGAGAAATTTACTGTGGAAGACAGGATCCAAATAGGTAAAGTTTTTAAAATATAGATGCAAAAACATAGCTAACTGTTCTAGGAAGATTCCACACATTTGTCAGTGTTTCACTACATTGATATGTTTTCCTGCCATAGATAATACTTCAAGCAATTAAATCTGCCCACACTGAGTCTCATTTGACAGTTTTATTGTCATTTATTAACAACTGGTTTAGACTAGTGACTGCTGGTATAATAGACAACATCAGGAAAAATAACATATTTTCCACATATGGAGGATATCAAGCAAAGTTATTACTCCTCCAGACCAGTAACCTGTCTGAGGCCAAAGCATATACTATTATCAAATGCACCACTGAAATAGTCTAGCATTTTTGTGCTGTGAACCTTTGTTGTCATCCTTTCAACGATGATGAATGAAGAGCACGAGCTGTGGTACTGTCTCTGAAAAGAACTGTTTATAATCTTCCTTTTCCCCTCCCCCCGATTGAAAAAAAATATATAGGAACTGCGTTTTATGTTCCTAGTGTATGTTGAAAAAAGGTAATGCAGAGCAATTACTGTCTTATGGAGGCTATATTTTTAATGAAAGCTTTAAAATTTACAATGTAGTTTTAAAGTATTACAAAAACTATCTAAGATGCTAAGACTTCTGATCATACTTATCTAAAGAACTAGTTAATTTACAAACCGTTATTTATGAAAAAACCACCACAAAACCTGAAGGATTTGAGATATTATTTGAATTATGTTTACCTAATTGGATAGGTTTCATCTTTTCTTCTTTTATTTTCATGTTTAGGAAGAGACTCCCATCCAAATGACAAACTCCAATCAAAATTTCCTCTGTTGTGGTTATGCCCATAAGGAGATGGTTTACTGAACTCAAAAGTATTGAGATCTATAGAAGCAATATCAGGGCTTACAACAGCGACAGGGTTCTCAGCTATTCTTGCCAATAATGGCTCTAACCAGCCATAAAAGCATTCACCTATAGAGAAAACAGGAAGAATCACTGAATTTTTACTTGGTTATAAAGTAGTACACAGGGAATATTTTAACATGCCCACAGCAAGCCCATATGCACTGCTTTTAAATAGCATTGCTACTTATGCTTTTAATAGTATAAAATAGCAATAAAAAAGATAATAAATTGTTAACATTCATAGTTCACAAAAAAAATCTGCAACTTTAAATCAAAGACAACAGCATTATAAACCAGGCATGACATAGTTACAGGTTACACTTACAATGAGCATCCAGAAAGGTAAGGGTCTCTCCTGTTGCTACTGAAGCTCCCAACAACCGTGCTGTGATTAGACCTTTTCTTTCCTTTTGACGGACTACTTTAACTATTTGAAATTGTTTCACATATTCATCTAGTTTATCATGCAAGTACTCTAGAAAGAGAAATAAATTTCAGCATAGTCAGTGTATATACATGTCACTGCCTAAAATTTGACATTACTAAACTAACAGGCTAAACAATTCACACTAACCCCGGGAATGACCTCAACATCAAAGCTGTAAACAATTCTTGACTGTTGAACGCTATTTTTAGTGGTTGAGTTTTGTTGGGTATGGGGATGCAGGAAGAGGTGACTGGCAGAGAACAGGGGATGGAACACTACAAATATTCTAAAAGAGAAAGGACATGTGCTAGTACACCTTTTCTGTGGTATTAGCAGTTTGAATATAAATTCAAAATCCTTTTTCAGAGCAAATAGATCGCATGCCTACTTACTCAAGTTATTTGCAGAAGCTGCAAAATTTTCCCTTAATGACAGCAGATGTTACATACAGTTTTCAAAGGCTACAATATTTACAACAGCAACAGAAGGTATATAAAAAATTCTTTAAATGTGCGAAATTTGAGAACCAACCCCACATCCCTCATTAAACATCCCACATCATCTTCCTTCTTCTGCCCATCCTTAGCATTACACTGTACTACCGAACATACTTCACATCGGAGCGTGTCAATATACCAAATACAGACTTGCAACAAGTATAAATACATTAATGTAAGCATGTAACTATAGACATGTTCATGCTAAGCATATAAAGTTTTTTTGAACTTGCATTTGTAATCACATTTAGTACACATTCAATTATTTTCAGTCAGCTTGAGTACCACAGATTATTTTTCCGTAAAATAATTTTACTTTCTAGGAAAGACATTTCCTTTCATATTAATGAAATTAATTTGCATAGAGACAATCACTATGATAAAATGCAAATTGGTACAAGCATTAGCCTATTTATTCTTGGATACTTTGTTCTATAAACTGTAATAGGTTTGAAGCACAAATTACAGAGCTATTTGTCATGCAAGCAGTTATGCAATTTAAGCAGCACTAGAATTAGAATAATCAGAAATGGGGTTTAAAAACCTTTTAGAGAACAAGAATGTCATATTTGAGCACCTTATGAAAAAAATACAGGGCAGAACTGTTTTATATTTTCAAGAAAAATAAAGAACAACCCCAGTTAGAATACCATTATACATGTTAATGGTGGTAAAGAGATATCCTCTTTTAACCAATGTATCTGTAATCCTAACACGTCTTTAAAAAAAATTAAAATCAAGAGAAAATAGAAAGTCTTCTTACCGTCTACACTGGCATCATCCACCAAAATAATCTCCTTTAGCAGTATGGCAGGAGACGTATACATCACACTGTGAACAGTTCTGAGCAGAGTAGACCATGCTTCATTATGAAAAACTATTATAATACTTGTAGTTGGCAATGGCGGGCAACGCTTAAACTTTTGTTCAATACACCTATAGATTAAAAAGTGTCAGATGTTACAAAACGGACAAAAAGTTTTGACTCAAAAGAAGGTCTATTCTTTCTAGTACAAAGCTTTGTAAGTATGGACATTAAATATTTCAGCTTCTCCGCTTTCTATCCCAGTTTTGGAGTGCAAAGGCAGGTGGTCCAAATGGAGAAGCTGTACTAGATTATATATACTAAAACATATGCTATAACATATATATATCTAAAATATATTTTTTAAAAATGTGGTGAATAAGAATTTCACTTGAAAAACTGACTCAGCTCTGCTTCTGCCTCACAAACATTTGAGTACATTTCATATAGCACCCAGGTGCTATACCAGAAAAAAAAATGTTATTATACTGAAAGCAGCAGATACTGAGCTGCAAAATCAGACTTTACTGTTGAAATACAAAAATACAAAGAAGATGGTTTACTAGAATAATGCAGAGTTTGTGAGGAAATAGAACAGGTCTAATTCAGAACTTCACAATTTTGTATTTGAACAGATAACAGGGCAGCATATCCCATTTAGGGGAAGCAATTTTAAAACCACAGTTTTTCAAGATCAATGTATTCTGAACAGAACTTTAAATGTAATTGCAAGTCAAGATGACAAGGCAACACATATTCGTAAGTTGCACACTTAGTGTTTATTGCCTGTCAGCTTTAGAGACTGGAAGACTCCATGGGGTAATTATCACAGCCTCACAAAACACACAGGCAAAACCCCACCACTTATGCTCTAGCAAAGGTTATTGTGAGCTGCACCACACATAATGTGATATTCATACTACCAACATCAGTATGGTTAGTCACTTGTGATACAGATAGCGGAGAACATATAATCTGACACTAACAGACATTGCTCATAAGCAAACTCCCCTCTACCAGACCCCTACAGTCTTTATTAATAAAATTTCTCAATAATGCAAGACTGATGATATGTTCCATTGCCTTGTTCAACAGTTTACAATTCCTAATTAATTAAATTATGCTAGTGGCTTTATTAACACTGAACACTAAAAAAAAAAAAAAAGAAAAATGGTGGGAGGGCACATGGCTTTTAAATAGAAAAAAGTTTAAACCACATTTTCATTTCTCTTCTAAGTAAAACTTAACAGGCTTCCAAAAAGTCACTCAGAAATTGTAGCTTAAAGGCAAAAGCAGAAAACCTTATTTAAATATGAATATTTTGAATTCTAAACCATGAAAGAAGTGAGCCTTTCTAAACATTCTTGGCTTTGGCACTGTGAATCATTACGTACAGTCAATCATTATGTATAGCTAGGAGACTTTCCTAAACTATCACCTAATGCTGAACTCAAATCACTTTGCAGTCTGCATTTCTGACAAGTTTTTCCACTATCAGGACAGAAACATTTCAACATACTCAGGAGGTCGAGTATCTGGTCCAAGATCTCGGTGTAAAGAAATCCTATCACTTGCAAATGCATTAAAACAGTGTTTTTCCTCTCCACGTTGCTTTTCTTTCTGTTCTTCTGAACTTAAGTTAATGGTTTTAAATGCTTTACCAGAAGCTCCAGGAGCATTAGGATCTTGAAGGGGTCGATCTAGAAAGGGTTTTAATTCCACAGCAGTATAGTGTCCTGGCAAACAGCGTCTCTCTCCAGGAATCTTAGTTTGCCTAACAGGTGCTTTTATCTGCATTTTTGGCTTTGCACCTTTTATATTGTTCATAGCATTTAACACAAGACCTAATACATGACTTTTCTTTCTAACAACTGGCTCAATCCCTGCTTCATCTTTAAAATCTTGAACACCCACTTCTCTTTGTAATAAAAATAAAAATACCAGGAAGACAAACACAATAATGCTAAACTTCCAAAGTTTCCAGTGAAAAAATAATTTCTTGAATACTTTAGGTGTTTTTGTCAAAGCCATCTTAGGTTTAAAAATTTATCACAAGACAAAATTTTCTGTGAACGATGCTCTTCAAATACGTCACTGCATTTCTTCAAATTATAACACCTGTAAATTAAAACAGAAAAGTGTAAATTCAGACAGCTAGCATATTCAACAATGTAAAACCACAAGAAATTAATAGGCAGGAATTAATTCACAACTCCCAGCTGTCAGTCTGTGTCCATCACTTGAAGATAGGTCAAACCTATCTATAAGATACCAAACATGCACTTTGCTTGGGTTTGTTTTCGTTTTAAATGCACTTCAAATAAAAGAACAAGAAAATAGGCATACCACCAGGAATAAAACACTATTTCTACACAATACCACTACTTCACATTAACCTTCTTGCAAGTCTTGAAAATTAAGTTGTTTAAAATTAGAGGAAAGTGTTGTTTTAAGTCTTCTAAAAACAGGGAGTTTAGTTCAATGATGAGATAGAAGGAAAACAGATGGAATCAATACACTAAGTTCAAGTTGTATGTAAGAAAGATCCACATAAGAAGTGAACTATAAAGACAGGAAGGACTTCTCAATCACTTTATTTCAACAATTAGGAAAATTCCAATTTTTTTTTTTAAATTCCATTTCAAGATTAGACTTAAGTAATCAGACTCCAAGTGAGAAATTTTTAGATTAATCTAGTTATCTAGTATACTTGTTCAATGCAGGTGTAATACATGTCATTTGGAGTAAGTTTATTTAGCCTGAGGATCCAGTAATCATTCTGTATATTTTTTCATTCACTTGTGCTGCATTTTCTGGCATGTGCTGCTGCAACTCATCAAGACAACATGTCAAAGAGATCTCTTCTTTCAGGAACTCTGCCACTATTTTTTCCACAGACAAGCAATTATTCAGAGGCTTTCAAAGATGGGGAACTATGAAAAACATTTGAGGACTTCCAGAATCCAAGTGATTTGAATTAAATTCTCTCTGCAAAATTGGCAGTTTACAAGAAGGTGAAAAATAGCAACCAACATGAATTCAAAACACAGCTTTATTTTTGTGCATGTATGTGAACTGAGAAAAGAAATAAGCAGCACCTAAATAAAAGCCACAGCTAATTCCCACTTGCTAACTGCTGACCACAGAATTGCAAAACTCTACTTATTTCATCCTTTGAAATACAAATAGATTCTGCATTTCTTAATTGGAATAAAATATACCCGAGAAAAGATATAACTTACAGAAAACAGAAAAAAAAACGTGACCTGGTTTCCTTCAAGAATTTGCAGGATAAGTTAAGCATCCAGACTTGTTCACATTAGAGAATATTTCAAAGCTTATGTCAGCTTTTTAAAATAAGCTCATACGTTCAAACTACGGAAGTTTTACCATAGAGCTATTGTTATAAGAACGCAGGGGGGAAGCTCATTACATCACTCCCATATAGATACTAAAATATACCACAAACATCCTTCACGAGGCCCACTAAATTTCAAGAAAACTGATAAAAAAATCCAGTCCACTTCTATTGTGCACATTATTTTCCCATTTTTCTTTAGTGTTGAAAAATTTTCACTACAATACCAATACTTACATGCTGCAAGACTAAGAATAAAAACTTTCTTTCCCAGTGAAAGGATTGCAACCAATTTACCAAACTGCCAGGGTAAAAAAAATGCCTTGTTTTCTCACAGTGTCTGGTGGGTTGATCGTGGCTGGCTGCCAGACTCCCACCCAGCCACTCTCATTCCTCCTCCTCAACATGACAGCCGGGAGAAAATAAGATGGAAAAGCACATGGGTCAAGATAAAGACAGCGTGATCACTTACTGATTACTGTAGCAGGAAAAACAGACTTGAAGATGATTAATTTAATTTATTGCCAATTAAAAAATAGAGTAGGATGGTGAGAAGCAAAGACAAAACCCCAGGCTCAACTTTATTCCTTCATCCCAACTCTCTACTTCCTTTCTCCCAAGTGGTGTAGAGGGGACAGCGAATGAGAGCTGTGGTCAGCTTGTAACACTTAATCTCTGCCGCTCCTTCCTCTTCACACTTATCCCCTGCTCCAACATGGGTCCTCTCTGCAGAGTACAGTACTTCAGCAAAAACTGCTCAAGCATGGGTCATCCACAGGTCGCAGTTTCTGCCAGGTTCTTGCTCCTGCACAGTCTCTCCATGTGCTTCAGCTTCCTTCAGGCCATATTTACCTGCTCCAGCATGGAGTCCTGCCCAGGCTGCAGTGTGGATATCTGCTCCAGTGTACTGCAGAGAAATACCTTCTTCACTGTGGTCTTCTCCATGGGCTGCAGTGGGATAATCTGCTTCACTATTGCCTTCTCCACAGGCTGCAGGTGAATACCTGCTCTGGTGGCTTTCTCCCCTCCTTCTTCACTGGCCTCGATGCCTGCAGGGTTGTTTCCCATTTTTCTCACTCCTCTCTCTCACAGCTGCTGTGCAGCATTTTTTACCCTTTCATACATGTGTTATCAGAGAAGCACCACCTGCTACACTGGGTGGCACAGCTTTGGCCAGCAGCGGGCCTGTTTTAGAGCTGGCTGGAACCAGCTGTGTCCAGCACAGGGGCAGACCCTGGCCTCTTCTCACAGAACCCACCGCTGTAGCCATCTCTGCCTCCCAACCTTGCCACGTAAATGCAATACGCTATGTAAAACACCAAGCATATGTACTGATCAGCACCGCACAAGAAGACTGTAACTTGTAAATCCATTGCCAAATCCGCAAGGGCTCTACCTGAGTCTACAGCCTCTGCAACCTGCTAACCAGAAATGGTTTCGTAACGCCGTAAAAAAGAAAACCACATTACTGTTTCTCAATGCAGCATGCACAAACACACATGATAATTAGTAAATCTTAAAGCTTAGGAATCAGTAAGTAATATAAATAGGTTTTCCTCAAATAGAAGAAAGAAAACTTTTTTTTTTTTTTTGAGGTACTTAATACTTTAAGAGAGGTCTGGCAACTTCTTTATCTCACATGCAGTCCTTACGCATAGCCAATCAGGCAAACACTTGGGGAGGGGGTCATTAGCCCTGGTTGATTTGTTTCCAAACCTTGCTGCCCTCAAATTTCCTTTGTAGCATTTAACAAGCAACAATGTTTTCCAACTTCCCCTAGGCCCCTTTCTCTTGGTACAGAGACTTAAATGCATCTATGACAAGAGAAAGGCTTAGACAATGGTGTAAGATAGGTCATGACAAGAGAGGTTAAAGTTAATCCTATATAGAATGTTTTACACTGAAATCATGCTTAAATTTGAGAACTTAATCAATATAGAGTCAAGTATTTACAACTATCTCTTTTTATGAGCTGGAACGAGACTACTCAAAAAGGGTAGAAAAATTATGTGGTATGGCTACATATTTGTTATCTACCTTAGCACCAGAGAAATCTTTTAACTGACTTAACAATTAGAGAGTTAAAATTGCAGTTGCCAGATTTCCATCTTCAGCATTTCAATTAACACAGTAATATTTACCTATGCTAAGCTCACTACATCATAATTTTTTTATTCTAGTTTCATGTGTACTGCATGAACTTTGGCTTCAGTGTCTCCAGCAACAAAAAAAAAAAAAAAAGAAAAAAGAAAAAAAGAAATGGACTAGAATATACCAAATATTTCTTCCATAGATTTTTAGCACATTCTTCAGACTTTTGCTGCTGTTGGCTTTGATGCTGACACACCAACCTGTTCTTCAGAAAACATCAAAAGTACTTACAAACATTTTACTACAAACTAAAATTAAAATACTGCACAAACTGAGCATATAAAAATCTTCACTCATAAGAATACTCATGATCAACACAATATTCAAGATATCTGTAAATCAAAATAACCGAAACCGAAAATCCATCCAGAATATTTCTTGCGTTGCTTGTATTTTGCATACAACTATCTTCAGACAAATAAATCATTAAAGACTATATAATAAGCAGACCCAATGAGCAAAGAAGAACACAGAGCCATTCATTTAGCATTTGGTTTCCTAACTTAATTCACTTCTATATGCGTACACTTTGACTTCTCTTTAACAACGTATTTCCTTGTATTAGATACATCTGTCTTGGGTGCTCAGGTTGAACTAGGTATGTTGCTGTGGCACACAGGTGAAACGTGTCTGTCCCCAGAAAGGAAAAGACAGCACACCTGAGTTAATCAGGTTGCACAAGCAGAGCAACACAATTTAACCCCTTCAACATGGATTAGTACACTCCAGCAGCACACATTGCAGCATGCTGTACACAGAAATATGTGCAAGTGATGTTTCTTTTTTAAAAGAAAGGACCAAGTGATAGCCTTGGGATAGTATGTGCAGCAGAAATGGACAAGCATGGGTTCATTTGCCACAAACATACAGCAAACTCTTTGATGGAGACAAATGCTGAGTGTAGTTTTTTTGACAAAATGCCTTATAGGGCTATTGCTTACAAAAGAGAAGAGCTCTTTATCACATAAAATAGTAGCAGTTTCCAGAACACAGACTACATTGTACAAAGAACTTTTGTCGTGAAAGCTGTATCTTCCTTAGGGTTTTTAGCAGGATAATTTTCTAGTCAGAAATACAATCTTTATTCCCCACAAATGCCTCACATTTTTATGGCATAGCAATGTCAGTAAGCACTGACCAAACTACTGTTCCATCCTCCAGGACATGCTCAAGAAATATGTGGCATGATTAAACTCCCTGAGGTGACTGGTTAGTTAAGTGTTTAATCTTCTATTCATTAGTGTTATTTTCACTAATAGTAGTCCGGATTCTTGCAGCACTTTGAAATAATTACCCCTAAACATCAGAAGTTGGATTTTAGGATATGGTTTTGTTTTTAAGAAGAAAATAACCAGAAAACTAATATGTACTACAAAAGCCTTCTAAGAAGTGCCAAAAAGCAGCTGCCACATTACTTCAAACCACATCACTTGGGCAGCGTGTGAATTCAATACACAGTCTATGTTACATTATGCCACCCACTAACTCTGATGTCAGACTGTCTGCAAAAACTCTGGCTTACAAGAAAGCCTCTCTGCAGTAGCCAACACGTAGACAACTCTGACTTTTTGTTAGCTTGGTCTGAACAACACTGTAGACAACCATTTTTTAAAAAAACAACATTAAATATCAAGATAATGCAAATCAGCAGAAATTCTTTCACACCATGCCAGTAGGAGAAATTTCTTGAGGTGAGCATGAACACTATACTTGATCCCAGTTTTTCCAATAAAACTTTTAAAATTGACTTTTCTTTTATCTGAATGATAAATATGGTTCTAATGTTTCCTGAGAATGTTGCTTATATAACATAAAAAACCCCAACTAAATAAATTTAAAAAAACTTTAAAAATAATTAAAATGAGCAAAATAGGAAAAAAATAACCTTAAGAACTATTCTAATCACAACAATTTTACTACACAACTTTGCTTGACCCATAATCTAATTTCTTCTGTAACTCCAGAATCACAGTCTCATTAAAAAGCCTGTCTATTTTTTCTTATTATCTAAGTATACAGTCCCTTCATCAAGACCTTAATGTTACCTTAATCAGAAAGCAGGTGTGTGTATAAATACACTTAACAAATTCTTTAGGGAAAAAAAAAGACCTGACAGTCATGATCAATTGTTCTTACCACACTAGAAAGTCTGCCAAAGATATATAATTACATACATTGGGATACTTTACCTATAAGAAATGCTACTTTCACCACTGCTAAAATTCTAGACGGGTCTTTTTTTTTTCTTTGCATGAATACCAATGTAGATGTTACTAAAACGTTAGCTACTGAAATAATCATTTTGGTAAATGATATTCTAGTCTTCTACCACCATGGAAATTGAGATTTTCCTAACAGAAAAATAAAATAGGTAATTGAACAAAACCATATCCACTTCTTAGAAGCGCATCCCAGAAGAACATCTACTTTCATTGCCACCTCTTGTGACAGACAAGAAATGTCCAACTTGTGGTGAACTTTTCATACAGGTTTAGCTGAATATGGAATACGAAGGCTCTCCACACAATCAAGAATATTCAAAAGCACTAAGGAACCTGGGAAAAATGAAAACAGTTGCTTAAGTTTACCAAACTATGCTACTGTTTGGTAGCATAGGGGTTTTTTGTTTGTTTGTTTTTTGTTGTTGTTTTGTTGTTACTGTTTTCAAGAATGTTAGCACTTGGCTTTAAAAAAGGAACAATTTATAAAACGAAATACACAGAAGTTAAAGATTAAGGCTTTACATGAAAAGGAGAAACAGAATCAGCTTCTACCTCTATATTTGCAAATATTTGCCTCTACCTGGCCAGCTTCTACCTCTATATTTGCAAAAAAAGACACTAGCCTATCTGTTCCACTGAGAATTCCTACTGAATACACTCCTAGATAGGACACACAAACTTAAAAGAAATAGAGATTCACAAACTCCAGATACTGTTCCTCTGGGTGCACTCTTTGAAGCTCAGTCAGTGGAAATGTGGCTCTACTCCTCAAAAATGAAAGTTTTAAGAGGAACACTGAATGTATTCAGTTCCTGAATCTTAGTTTTAGAAACATAAAGGGCATAGAGTACTCTAGCAAAGACTGGATGTAATCTGTTCCAGTGAGTATTACAGAAAAATCAGAAGCTATAACTGGATGATAACACAATAGGCTGAAAAAATTCAGACCAGCAGCAGCCCAGAACACTTAGACAGAACACAACTTTCAAACTATTTTCTTCAGTAGTTTGAGACTAAAAAAATAAATAAAAAAACCACCCCACCCTCCTTCTGTGTATTCTATTAGAAGTGCTTCAATACCTCTTTCAATATGTACCCTGCTACTATTTTTCTACAGCAAAGCACTGTACATGATAGGCACAGATAGATAGCACTCTGTGACAGTAGATACTATATTAGAAGTATACAGTAACCATATAATATAAACAATATTTATGCCTTATTTTTACAGTCTTGGGACTATAAACATGCACTGAAGTCAACTTAAATTTAAATTTCACTCAACTCTGCAGCTTCCTTTTTCCTTGGCCAGATTGGTTTGGGCCTCTGTTAAAATCATTTTAGACTGTCCCTAAAAATGCCATGATGACAAGGAAGCACCATAGCAGCTCTAAAGTGCTGTTTTAACTTAAAAGGATTAGTGTCCGATTTTCACTTAAGTGCCAAAAAATAATCTCTGATTGCAGCAATGCTTCTAAGATAACAAAAGCATCTGAGTATTAAGTGCAGGGTTTAAAATCACAGTTTTACACCCCAATTGGCCTTAAAATTTTTCATTGTTTAAATGATGAGCGTAAAGCAAAGCATATCTCCTCATGCATTTTTTTGTGACTTACTGAAGTTTATTGGATCAGTCACTGCTAAACTACACTTTATCAGAATCTCCCAAAGACTTCTGTCTTTGCTTTCCTCCTCTCTCACCTGATTGGTTCTTTTTCAGCTACATTTCACTGCTGAATAATCTCACCTAACAACAAATAGTCATTTGATCATAGAATTTAATTACTAAGTTACTGTCACTAGTTTTGCGACATGATTTCTCTGTTTGTAAGCAGACCTATTTCCTATGGCACGTGGTATCAGCAAATTTTAGGAAAAATCAGGCAGTAGTAAGGTAGACAGCAAGTGACTAAAATCGTGCTTTACGCAAGTGGACAAAATATAGCACTTCATGGTCTAGAAACCTGAGGTGCTTTAAAATTTTCTAGAGGATAAGCACAGAAATGAGCAGATAAGGAGGAGAAACTCATCAGGTGCTGGCAAGCACCTGATCAGCAATTCATATTATGAACACGATTCTCTACATTGATTCCAAAGAATGGGGAAGCCCTGCACTAGATATCAACTCTCAGAACAGACACGCCAGACAACAAATTTATGCAAAGCAAAAAGGAATGTCTCAAAGCAATGCAGACTGTCACCTAGAACCACAGGCTTTGGGGAGATGTCACAGAGAGGGCACTTATATCTTGTTCCTATTTTGACAGAAGTCAAGATATCCAGGCTGCTGCCAGTATTACCCCAGCCAAAAAAAGGGGCAAAGTTAAATGGCAATAGTAGTTATGAGGAAAACTGGTCTTCTGCTCCTTCCCACAGTGGAACAAAAATAGTAATTTGGGCTCTCTGTAACTAACTTAATTTTTACTTTACTATGTTACTGAGGAGCCTTGAGACCATACTAGAAGATGCCAAACTGGGCCACTGAGCAAACCTAGCTAAAAAAAGAAACCAAAAACCTTAAGCTGGCTGCTGTCTCAGTCTTGAACTCTGTTGCTCAGTTCAGCAGCATGACACTAGCTTTAGTCGAGACTGAATAGATCAATATAATTTATAATTTTTTAAACAAAAGACGTTTTTTAACAGAAGACTAACACATAAAACATTACTGAGATACATACATAAAATTCATATTTCCAATAAGTTATTTTTCATTTAACCAATAAAAACTTTTATTAATAAATACATCATTGCACAAGCATATTTTACACAAAGTTAAAAAAAAAAAATAAATCCATGACACTAAGATTATCTGTGTTATAATTAACTTTTCCTGTCATTTCTCCAGAGCCAATAAAATATTCCCAAGCACCGTCACCTGCTGTCTAGAAGTAAGACTAACAAACTGCTGAAGAGACAATCTAGTGACTGAAAAGCAGTTCATACACGGTGAAACACCCCGGCGAAGGCAGCCGCTGGCACAGCGGGACCACCACCACCCCGCTGTTACCGATCGGCGCGGCACCGCGGACAAACCCTGGGGCGCGGTAAGTACGTGGCAAGAGACACCTCCCTCAGTCAATACTTTTGGTTTGGACAGTGCATCCGGCTGGTGGCCAGCGCTTCCCGGAGACCCGTTGGCCCAGCTGCCAGGCAGCAGCAGCGCCCTTCTCCGCAAGCCGGAGCTCCTCGCCCCGTGTCACGTTTGCCCAGAGCGGGGCACGCAGGGCTGGGCTGCCCCCGGCCCCCTGCGAGGCCCCTGTGGGGCTGGCTGCCTTGGTGGGGTTTGAGGGGGGCGCAGTGCGTGTGGGGGCTGCCCGAGGGGGTCTCTGAGGGGGATCCCCGGGCAGGCTCCGGTCCCACGTCCACCCCACGACCGTTCCCTCGTGTCAGGACTCCCGTCCTGCCCGTTGTGCCCCGCTCCGGGCTCACCCGGACGGGCGGCGGTGAACGGAGGAGGAGCGGCGCCGCGCGGGGGGCTCCCGAGACCAGCGGGGTCCCCCCCTCTCCCGGCGGTCCCCACACTCACCTCGTCTAGCGGTAGGAAGGCGATGGCGCTGCCCGCACGACCGGCAGAAGGCACAGGGAGAACCGGGCACCGCTCCCGCCCCGGCCGGGAGGCCGCCCACGGCGCCGGGAGGCTGAAGCCGGGCGGGCTGCTCTGCGGCTTCCGCTCAGCGGCCTCCAGGTGCGCGCGGGGCCGGGGGCAGGGAGAGGGCCCTGCGCCTGCGCGCGGCCCCGCCCGCACCTGGCG